AAACCTTAAACCCTAAAACCCTAAAGTCCTAAACCCTGCACCCTGAAACCCTAAAGTCCCAAAGCCCTAAACCCATATTTTGAGTTCACAGCTTCAAGGGTACTGCAGGGGGGTGAGTAATTACCTATACTATGGTGGGGGTTCCTTCTTGTAGCTATAGTATAATGGGCCCCAAAACCCTATTCTAATTATTCAGGCCCCTAAACTAAACCCTTATAGTATAGCCCGTATAGTATCCCTTTTGAGTAGCCCTTTTAAAGGAGCCCTATTCTATTTATTAAGGCCACTATATTGGGGGCTATGTTGTTTCAGGCTTCAGTGCTTCAAGGCTCGGGGCTTGGGGTGCAAGGCTTTGGGGACTTTGGGCTTAGAGGTTGTAGGGTTTAGTTTGGGGTTTGGGGTTTGGGGTTTAGGGTTTAGGGTTTAGGGTTTAGGGTTTAGGGTTTAGGGTTTAGGGTTTAGGGTTTAGTTTAGGGTTTGGGGTTTAGAGGTTGTAGGGTTTAGGGTGTATAGACTGTAGGTTGTAGGGTGTTGGGCTTATAGGTTGCAGGGTTTACGGTTTATAGATTGTAGGGTTTAGGGGCTAGGATGGTTTGGGGCATGGTGTTTTGCTTGTAGTTCTGGTCTATGTCCGAACCTTATGGCGCGGACACCTTATCGAGACAGCCGGGAACGTTAGAGTCCGATCATGCGCCATAAGACTAGTAGAGGAGGAAGCAGGAGGTGCTCCCCCTGCTGCTGCTTCTGCTAAAGGTCCAAACGACCCAATAATATATAATTTGGCCTTAAAGTGGTCCCTATATAGGTACCTTGGGGCCAAAGTGTATACTGTTTGGGCACATGGACCCTTAGGGTTACTGTAAACATTGAACTACTCTGCTACGGCTCTCCATGAAGTTTGCTTCTCCAGATGAATCCTAACTTCCCTAGGCTTTGTGGCACTTTGACGAGAGATCCATGCTGGCGCGCATTGTTCGCGTCTTTTGGGCCGCTGGCGTAGCGACTTGGCTCAGTCGGTTCAGGCTGTTTTTAGGGTTAAGGTTTCAGGGTCCGGGGCTTAAGCTCATGGTGTATTTCTTCAGGGTTTAGTCCGTTTAGGGATTCGTAGGTGTTTTCAGGGGCTTTATCGGGCTTTTCGAGATTATGACGGGTTTCATAGGATTTTGTAGATGAAGGGCTAAGTTTCGGGGTTTGCATTGGGCTCCATCTGGCAGCTATCATCCGGGCATGGAGTTGGAGGAAGTGCTCTACAACCCAAGCCATCAGCTCTACGGTATAAACCAGCATTCCCCCACAACATGAGCCATCCTAAACCCCATTATCCCCATCTTCCGCTACCGGAACCTACTCTTGTGCGGAGTCACGCCCATTTCTATCAATTATAAGGTTTGCAATCACACCGCCGAAATCAGCTGTGATAGTTCAGGGTAGCCCTATTTTCTTCCAGGTCACTTGCGGCGTCCTGGAAACTCGCTGGAAGCTCAGGGCGCTCGGCGTCACTGAAGGCGAGGAGTACGACGCCGAGTGGAATTCCACCCATGAGGCTCAAAACCGCACAGATTCTCGCTTCTGGTTTCGTCAAGTGTGTGTGCGTGTTTGTTATTCGAGTTGCGGGACTTAATGTTCTGTATTTGGGGTCTAGGCTTGTTGAGGACTTCGATCTGTAGGGTCTAGGTTCAGTTCCGGTCAGAGCTTGCAGTGTACCTCATTTTGGCTGACATAGTCGCCTGCAAGTGGTCAGGCATTGGAAGCCCAACCGAAATGGAACCCTCAAACCCTCCAGCCCGTAAACCTCAGCTTTGGACGGGTTTAATGCACTCAAAGTTTTGCAAGATTGAAGCCCGCTCAACCTTAGCAAGTTAAAGTGCGACCCTAAACCCGTAACCTTAAACTCTATGCTCCCCCAACCCCAAACTCTAAAGCCTGAAGCCTCTAAACTCATAATCGATCCTTCTAGAGGTACCTTTATATAGATCCCTTTGAAGAATCCCCTGAACCCTTATAGTATACCCTTATAGAGCTATCCCTTTTCGGACTCTTCTGTGGACCCCGGTTTAAGGAACCCTAAGAGATCCCCTTGAAAGGAACCCCTAAACCAGACCCTTTTTAACCCTAAACCCTAAACCCTAACCCCCCACCCCCCTTCCCCGAACCACGGGAAGCACTCAAAGCAGGTGTTGGCTCGCTTCCTCTTCCTTCAAATCCTGAAGCCGGGGATCCGAGAACAAAGAGGGTTTAGGGTTTAGGGTTTAGGGATCATAGAGGGTTTACAGTAGGGTTGAGGGCTAAACGGTCTAGGGTTTAGGGCTAAAGGGTTCGGGGTTTGGGGTTAGACAGTTTTCAACTCAGGCGAGCTATTTTACGGGGAGTACATGGCAATGTAACAGTATTCGGAACTTTGCAGTAGTACATTAATTAAAACATGTGGTACAAGCCGTCTGTTTCGTCGAAAGCACGAGTATAGGCTCAGTTTCGGGATTCGTTGGGGCTTCGGCTTCGTCAGTAGGTTTTCAGTTTTAGGGTTCTAGGGCTTAGGGCCTTTAGGGTGTAGCATATAGGACGATGAGTCGTAGATGCCCCAATGCGTGTCATACAAACTACGACTTCACTTGCCTCACACTTTTGAAGCCCCTTGATCCTCCTAGGTTGTCTCCCTGGTGCCGGGAATGGGGGAATGGGTTTTTGGCTACGGACTACTATAAGGGACGTTAGGGGACTGATCCATTCCCTTATTCCCGAATCGGAACCGGGGAGTTGTGCTTGTATACCGGCTCACGGTTCTTGTTCCGGTATCGGTCGAGAGGCCTAAGGTTTGGCGCGACGACTACCTTGCGTTTTTTTGTGTTTTGGTTTAGATCCTGGTTCCACGGAAACTGCTTGCTAGCTGCGTGGCAGAACACCCCCCCCTCTGCAGTAAACTCTCATGGCGGCCCATCAGATTCTCATTCCGACCCGCAGTGCTGTTCTGATTGCCGAGAGCCGCCTTCTTTACGAAAAGGATCACAACTGCACAATGTAGGGGCCTGGATAATTTATGGTATAATCTACCCCAAACCCTATTCTTCTAAGAATTAAGGCTCCTATATCACCCCCTGCATGCATGCCTCCGATAGGCAAGAGCAGCCGTGCACACACACTCATCCCCTAAGTCAAGTACACTGGTTAACGCGGCCAAACCTACACTCATCCCGCGATGCCCAAAGCCCAAGAGCCTCACTCTAAATCCTCAACCGCCCCAAACCCTAAACCCTATACCCTATACCCTATACCCTTAAACCCTAGGCCTGAACCCAGAACACGAAAGCTGCTGGAGGCTGAAGGGCTTTTGGATCAAGTTGGGCCAGCAGCTTTCGGTGAATGCCGCGTACCCAGAGCTTCGAAACCCAGCCATGCCCTCATCCTCAGGTTGAGTAGTGAGTGTACAGCACTCTTCCTGAGGGTTTTTTTAGGGTTTAGGGTTAAGGACCCGAAACCCTAAACCCTTTCTGCCCCGACCCCGGTACGCCATTGATTTTACCACGGTGCCATGTCTCTTGTTTCAGGGTGCCTAACTTTAGGGTGGCTATCAGGGAAGAGCGCCCCTGTAACCCAAGAACCGAACCAAGGGCAGCACTCTACGTAGAACACAACGAGAGAGATAGATAAATAGACAGGCAGTTATACGAAGCCATAGAATGATAGATGGGACAGACAAACGGACGGACAGACAGACAGACAAGCAGATTGTCATATATACAATAGATTGGCAGCTTGGTCGATAGATAAATAGCAGACAGTTAGATAGCTAAACAGATAGACAGATAGATGCGATAGCCTGGAAAATGATCAGTGGATGGTTAGATATGTCGGGAGGTGGGTAGGCAAGGTAAGTAAATAGACAGATACTACATAGAAGTGTCCTTCAACCGTCTAATATTCGGGTTTCTGCGTGTTTCTCCATGAAGCCGAAGGGAACCCTGACAAGTTGGACAAGCCGCGCAACACGCCAACAAAACACAAGGAAATCATGCCCTAAACCCGAAACCCTAAACCGTTTCTCGGATGCCGTGCCAAATCTTGTCACGTGGTGGAAGCAGGGACCGAGCTTGGGTACTGGCAGCAGATGCTGCGACTTCCATTGATGTCTCCTCCGCCGTACCACATGCTTAGAAGGACTTGCTACGTTTCTTTAAGGGTCCCTTATATGGTTTGAATTTGTATATGGAGGGGATACCTTTGAAGCCCCAGCCGTGATCCTGAAGTGCTGAAGCCCCCAAACCTTGAACCCCGGAGTCCCAGCCTCTTGTCCTCTAGGCCACCAGCCTTGCGAGTAGCACAACGACTTTAGGGTTTTAGGGTCTCTGTTAACCCTGCCGCCTAAGGTGATGCTTGCTGCACCCTACCGCACAGAGTTCAGCAAGCTGCAAGACAAGATCCCGCCCATGCCTGCACTTCGGCTGGTGTACATGGGAATATGGCAAGCATGTGATCCGCTTGGACCCTACACCCTAAACCCTAAGCCCGAAAGGGTACGTGTCATTAGTGTCTGCATGGAATCTCGTATGTCAGCGGACGCACACCTCTTTAGGGTTTAGGGTTAGGGTTGATCGGTCGTTTTGATCCGGAACTCAGGGGAACGGTGTCATTAGTTGATGCGGTGTGCTCACAAAGGCTTCAGACCCTACATGCGATGAATCAAGTTTTAAAGGTTTTGTACCGGCTACACATCGCAGACCCTACTTCAGCCTTCTAAAACCTTTCTTTTAGGCTATTTCCTTATATAAGTATTTAAAAAGCACGGTTTTTAGGGTTCAGGTACACATTGGTAAGGATAGCATGGTGTAGCATGGCCCGGCCAAATCCTATTCCAGCAACTAGAAGTTGTGCGAAACGTACTTTAAGGGACGAGCCATAGGGAACCTAAAGCCTGAACCCTGCTAAACACTAAACCTAAACCCTACTTAAAGGATCATGGCACTTAGCAAGTAGGGTTATAATTCAGGTAACTGTACTTACTTATAACCCCAATAAAGGGACTTGTAACCTTACTTACTAAGTCCCATGATCCTCCCAATAAACACTAGGAGAGTACAACTTCCTTATAGCAAAGCGTCATCTTAACCCAGAAAGCGAGAATTGCTTGTGGCTGTTTTTTGGGGATATGTTTTGAACAACAACCACTTTTTGACGTGTTTAGGGATTAGGGCTTAAAGTTTGTGCCTATGCTTCTGATACTTTTGGAACTCTCACCCTAAACCCTAAACCCTGAAGTCTAAAGTCTAAGCCCAATTCTGAACCTTTTACGACATTGGAACGACTTGTGCTCTGGGCCAGTGAAGAGCCAGATCGCCCAGAGACCCCTCAAACAAAGTCAAAAGGGACGCTTGTATAGAACCCTTATAGGATTCTCATGGCCCTGAACAGCAGAATTCCAGAACCTCAACCCTCAAATTCTGAACCCACTTCCTCTAACCTGGTCCACAAATCCTTTGGCTGCAACTCCAAGCGCGGCAAAAGTAAGTTTAGGTGCTGAAATTATGCAGGGCAGAGCCCTCGAAAGAGGTTTTTGGAAACCCAGGCAAGTCTTATCAACAAAAACCAATCCTGTTCCCTCAGCCCGCCTAAGCCCTAAACCCGCCTAAACTCATGCGGCAGGTAAGCGATGTGCTGCATCTTGGCATTCGTCTGGCCGTTGTTGCTAAGCCCTGGGATGGAAATTCGGGCTTAGGGGGTTATGGTATGGAGTTTAGGGTTTTGGGTTTAGTAATTAGGGTTTTGGATTTAGGGTTTCCGGCCTAGGTTCAAGAAGCTATAAAAGCACGAGTACTGCTGTACTACATGTTCTCTAACCTACAATCCAATTGTAGGGCCTTTTGGTATATAGGCGTGAAGCAGTGGCAACCTAGTTCTTTAGCTGCCTTATACATATATATATATATATACATACATATATATATATATATATAGCCGAACCCTAAGCTAGTTAAGTTGCCCAGCCCCTTAGATTGCCTGAAGCTCCGATCCATTGTCAACGTAAACCTTCGTAAAACCTGAGCTGGTCTTTTTGGTCTTTAAGGCAAGCACAGGAGACTGTGCGAAAGCCAAGCAGAGCACGAGCATTCGACCATCACTTGATTTCCCGTGCACTGTGGCTCCATGTGCATACATGGTGTGTACTTAGGTGTAAGGGTTCCTAGATAGGTAAGTCAAGGCATAACTACAACTACACGGGTATTTGGAACCTTTGGGCCAGTGTTGTCTCTGGGGCACTCTTGCGGCATTGCTTGTCGCTCTTTGTTGGTGGCAGTGGTGCAAGGAACAGTAATTTCTAATTCTATTGGACGATGCCAACCCCAAAGCAGGTCACCCGAGAAAAAGGTACTCGTGCATCGTTGCAGCGGGCTAGGCCGGTTATACGATTATATGTAGCAGCATAATCTAAGACTTACGATACTTAAAGGATCATGGGACCTAGTAAGTAGGGTTATAGTTCAGGTAATTGTACTTATATTTACTTATAACCTCAATTAAGGGTTTTATAACCCCACTTACTAAGTCCCATGATCCTCCAAGTATTGTTTACAAAACTCCACCCAGCCCTGAACCCTAAACTGCTGCTTAGTGGAGTCTAGGTTATACTGACATTTGGGTAGTTCTCTAAATTAGGGTCCCTTTTAGGGTCCTTTTTATAAGGGGACCTAAAAAGGGACCCTAATTTAGAAGACTACCCATTTAGGGGAACGCAAGGAAGTCCATGTTATAGTGATTTGTAGGGGATCTGAGTTTCGGCTCTGAGGCATGCGAAGTACGTGGAGGATCATGAGACTTAGTAAGCAAGGTTACAAGTCCTTTAATTGAGTGTTATGAGTAAATATAAGTACACTTACCTTTATTATAACCCTACTTACTAAGTCCGGTGATCCTTTAAGTATGGAGAGTCTATATAGGATGTCGGTTATGGGTTTACGGTTCAACCTAGAGGGTCGGATTCTGTGCTTGGGGTCCTACGTGAGATCCGGATGCAGTCAATTGGCTCAGTTTATGGTCTAAGGTTTAGGGTGAGCCGACATTGCTTTCCGGGAATGAGGACCACGCAGTACCCTGTACAACGAAGCCAGCCGTCAGAGTGGGCGAGAACCTTCATCCATCCGCAAACCCTGAATCTTAATCCCTGCAAAGCCCAAATAAGTACTATAGCGGCCTTAAAAGTTACCTATGCCATTTTGGGGTTTCCTGTTATTATAACTTACTATAATGGAAAATACCCCAAAACCTTATTCGAATTATTCAGGCCCCTACGCTATTCACATTTCTTTTGCACAGTGGAGCCTGCTGACTATTTTGGTAACTTGCCCTCATTGCCTGAAGCAAAACCCAGCACAGTGGAGCTTGCCTGAGGAAGACTCTGCAAGAGGAGTTTGGTGCTGAAGTCGTGGGGGACCAAGAAGATATGGGCTACAGAAGCACAGGCAATTAGAAACACTATGTCTTAGGGCTCCTTATCGTCATAATTAGAGTCAGAGTCTTATAATGTGCCTCAAAACCTTAAAGCTCGTATATTTTCTTAAGACTCCTTGTGGTAATTAGAGTATAAGAATATGCCCCAAAACCCCTGTTCCAATTATTAAAGCTCCATGTCTTAGGGTTTGTTGTCGCATTTGGAGTATTATCATATGCCCCAAAGCCCTATTCCAATTATTAAAGCTCCATGTCTTAGGGCTCCTTGTCGCATTTGGAGTATTATCATATGCCCCAAAGCCCGATTCCAATTATTAAAGCTCCATGTCTTAGGGCTCCTTGTTGCATTTGGAGTATTATCATATGCCCCAAAACCACATTCCAATCGTTAAAGCTCCTGTAGAGGACTTGGTTTCTTTCAGAGGCCGGGGCTTGAAGCATAAGGCGTGGGGGCTTGTGGCCTGCCTTGAAGCTACCATAAAATTAAAGGAAACTACAGGTGGGCAGTTTAGGGTATATAGGGCTTCTATAAGGCTTCTATACGGTATATAGACCTTCTATACAGCTCCCATAGCGGTATCTACCCACTTGAAAATGTCCTAGGTGAAAGATTTAAAGCCTAAATCTATTTTGGAATTTGTGAGGGGCCCGACGAAAACTAGGTTTTGGTAGTTCTGGGTAGGGTCTCTGAGGGGTTTGGCGGTTTGCGATGCTCTAGGATGTACATGCATGGGGTTTCAGGGCCTAGCCTCCCAAGCTCAGGGCTTCAAAGGGTTTAGGGTTTAGGGTTTAGCGTGGCCCAAGGGTCCATGTACCCATCTAGCATATACTCGGGTTTTATATCGGCCTTCACAAACCCTACACTTGAAAGATCTTGCAGAACCCTTACAGCAACCCTTATAGCAACCCTTACTCGTAGCTCTTAGAGTAGCCCTTACTACCCTAAACCCTAAACCCTAAACCCTTGCTTTTTGCCCTTACAAGGGCCCTTGTTGGGGATCGGGGATCCGGGCTCGGGCTAAGGGTGCCCAAAGGATCCTACTTGGAAGATCGTAGGACGTAGTAAGTAAGCTTACAGTGGAAACGTACATCACACTAAGTTGCATGGCGGTTTAAGTATGCTTGAGGGTGTTTTAAGCAGTTGTAAGTCTAGCTTCCTTATTCATAACGTATGTGTAACCCTACCCATAGGCCCCATAGTAGTTCCTTTTTGGGGTTACCTTATAGGATTCTATATATGAACCCCAAAAGGAACTACTTTAGGGCCTATGGGTAGTTACCCTAAACCCTAAACCCCAAACCTTAAACCCTAAACCCCAAACCTTAAACCCTAAACCCCAAACCCTAAACCTTTAGCTACGAGCCCCTGAACCATCGGTCTTCCCGGAATGGCGGCGGCCCACCCGACGGCGTAGGGTTACGGTTTAGGGGTCACGGTTTTTAGTATAGGGTTTAGGGTTTAGGGGTCAGGGTTTAGAGTATAGGGTTTAGGGTTTAGGGGTCAGGGTTTAGAGTCTAGAGTACAGGGTTTTTAGTATAGGGTTTAGAGTATAGGGTTTAGGGGTAATATACGCTCCTCCGGGATGCCCAAAATCAGGTGTCTGTCGTTCCGCTGTTTAAGGTCCCTGATTTGGATCCGTATTCCAGTGCCATAGGATTTTGCGAGGTTTAAGAGTTGTAGGTCCTTGGCCTGCAGAATCTCTGCCCCACACCCTGTACCGGAAAGTATAAACCCAGCCTGTAGCCGACAAACGTCATGACCCCACGTAAACCCCAAAGTCTTCAAAGCTAAGCCACTCATAAACCTTCAAACCCCTAAACCCTAAACCCTAAACTCTAAACTCCTAAACCCTAAACCCTAAACCTTAAACCGCTCGTGGCGCTTTAGGAGTTAAAGCCTCGTAGGTCTCGCAGATCGACATCGACAACTCTCCGCCACTGGGGACGGCCTCCATCGCCCAGGCGGATTTGGGGAAGAACTCGAAACCCAAAAGGTTCACAGTTTGGGGTTCTGGGCTTATGAGACTTAGCCCTATAAGCCGTACATACAGTGTCCACTGTAGATCCTTGTTTTTCGTCAACCGATATTATGATTGGTTTCTTGTCAAGACACCAAGTACCTAAACACGGAATTACAGCTGAGAATATAGGTAAAGCCTCAACCTAAACCCTTGACAGTAGAAAGGAACAGGCATCCCTTCATTTCCAAATCAACCTGAAGTGGCAACAAGGGAATGGCTTCCATCCTCCAGTACCTTGTTGAACCTTGAGGATAGTTGTAGTGAATGCGTTATGTTTTGAGCGAACCTTAACCGAGACATGGAACGAAGGTCAACGGCCATTTTCTGGATTACAGCACGGTGTGCTCAATTGGGGTTGTATTTCTGGCGTGGGCAGGGGTCTGTGTGTGACAGAATATGCTTGCTGCAACGCGGTCAGGAAGGCTTCTAAGTACAACCCTTTACGAGCACCTTTACCTAGAGCCCTGAGCCACTCCTGAGCGCTTAAGCCCCAAATCCCTAACCCTAGAGCGGGGTTTAGGGTTTAGGGTTAAACTACCCCCGAGCTCTGCCAAACGATGGGGGTTTGTGAACATAGGCTTCTCTGCGAGGTGCACAAGGCAATCTGGCGACCAAAGGGAGCTGCCCACCAGGAAGTGGCAGCTTGGCAGAACGACCCAGACTTACTATAGGGGCCTAAATAATTACCTAGACTATGTT